GGGGGGGGGGGGGGGGTGTTGTTGTTTGTTTGTACTTTAGAAACAAAGGTATCTACATTGTAGTTTGTTGGAATTACATTGCAGGGTAACATTGTTCAAAACCCCATAAGACACAGTTAACGGACTCCTTATGTTTGGGAGAAAAGATGGCAAGTCTCTATAGTATACCATTCCCTCAGCATCCTACTCATCATAATAATAATTTTCAACTCTTCATGGACCATCTCTCTCTCCCCTCCTCTCCTTATCCTCGTCTTACTTTCACTCACCCTCTCTACCTCCCTCCCATTCTCCTCTTCCTCTCTTTTTCTCTCTCTCTTTCGTTCTTTCTCTCTCTCTCTCTCTCTCTCTCTCTCTCTCTCTCTCTCACACACACACACACACACACACACACACACACACACACTCGTCCACTATCGGCTGTAACTTATCCAAACCAAAGCATATCTATCCAGATTTAGCTGGTAGCATATACACAGTCAATGATTTGTTAAATTTAAGAATCATTTTCAAACGTCATTATGGAAATTACACAAACTTTTGACGAGAACGTGGAGATGCAGGCACAAGGTCCTTCATTGGGGAGTTTGAGGCTGCTCCCCCTTAGGTGAGGGGATACAATATTTTGTGTAAATTGTTCCCTCTCGACTTCATGTTTAAATAAGTATTAAGTCTATAACTGGTTGTCAACTTGCTACCCACAAACCCCCTTAACCTGCTACCCACAACCCCCTCTCGAAATCCCCAACATAATATTTGCCACTGTACGTAATATCTACCTACATGTATTAAGGTCCCCTCTTCCCTTATCTTGGCCCGCTAGAAAAGGCTAATACTAATACTAACAAGGTCACTTAGGCAGAGAATGTGCCCACCATTTCGGAACTTCACGGTGACATTAAAGATAGTTCCAGAAGCGAACAGGAAAGCGGGTGCCCACCAGGCGCGGTTCGTCCACAGAGCACGGTCGTGCAGTGCCGCCCAAAAGTTTTTCTTTTTCTTTAACGTAGCGCCATCAAAAATAAAATAAAAGACGCCAAAAACAAATACTAGATTTCGTCAAATATTATACCAAAACAAGGTCCCTGCTGGCGCCGTAACTGTCTTTTGCGTCGTAAAACAAAGCCCACGCGCTATAACTAAACGTAATAGGAGATTCAACACTGATAACCTGACCTATAAAGCACTGTTTGGGACAACCCAAGCGATGACCACACTTGTAGCGAGTTTGACGGTACCGTACATTAATATTAATAAGTCGGCACATCTCAAAAGTGTCTCTTGCCGAATAGTGCCGAAACATAGCCCACAGCAGGCAGTCTAAAAATAAACGCCATAGACTGTACACTATTCTATGCCAAAATTATGAGAGCCCCGGAGCAATCCAGCAGAGTGCTCAAGTGAATTCTGATTGCTTCATTGTCTTGCCACTAGGCTATTTTAAGTGACTCTGTGGCCGTGAACCTGAGAGAGGTGAACGTGACATACTCAAGTCACCGTCCTATGAGTTGTGTCTTTGAATGGTTTTGTTGTGGAGTGGTGAAAGTTATTACCGGGTACTTGAGTGTTCAGTTCTAATGCAGGGTGAACGAAATTGATGTTTAGCTAACAAATATATTTAGCTCTCGAAGTGACAAGTAAAAGGAATGAAAATAAAAACACGAGGTCCTCCCTCACCAACCCAAAGATCCTTATATTAGACACCATTCCATTTACTATGCCTTTGGCTATCTTCAGCTTGTTAGAGCTTAACCAATTGTGCACGCCCACTTTTTAGCCCCGCGAGCCACCCCTGGTGCCCACATCCTTCGTCACTCATCAGAGCAGAGATCGATAGGGTTAACGCTAACACTTTTTTTTTTAAAACGAGCAACTAACAGAAGCAGGTCTTCTTAATAATTATATTATATACATAAAAACCACCCACATCATCACTTATCACTACCACAACCGTCATTTTTAAAATTATCATTGCTCTCAGATCCCTCACAAACATCTATAATTATCTTGAACATCTATACGTAACTGCTATAATATGCTATAACAATTATGTACTTTATACATTATTGGGCACGGTCATACGCACATTTTTCTACTTATCAGATGGCGTCAGTATCATAGAAATGGGCAAGGGACCAAAAAAAAAGGAAAAGAAAAACCCCCAAAGAATCCCAGATCTGGTATAATTAATAAAGATGAAATATAAAAACAATAAAGAGGTGACATGTGTTGGAAAAAGGAAGCATGCTCTTTAATCTGGATTTATAACAAACTTTTTTCTTTTGCAGGTAGTGTGTGAAGTGGACAAAAGTGTGTAGCCCAGACCTATATTATGCCTATATATTCTTTTCATAAAGAAAGAATAAACCAAAGTAGAGAGAAAGTGAGAAAAAAATGAAATATCAAAATGAAAACACACACGAACGCACGCACGCACACGCACACAAACAACACGCACACACACACACACACACACACACACACACACACACACACACAC